CTGCACGCCCGCACCGCCCCCGCGGCAGTTCCCATGCCTGCCGCAGCCCCGCCTGCGCTCTCCTCCTGCTGCTTTCCCACACGGACAGGGCTCGCCGGCCGCCCCGAGCGCCAGCTCCCAAGGCGTTTGCTCCCCACCTCCCAGGGAGCAAAGGCCACGCTTACGCTGGCTCTTTGAAGGCGCAGTTCCAGTTTCGGCACCCGAGCGATCCCCCGCCCATGCTTCGGAACAACCAGCCGCTTGCTGCGGCTCAGCCGCCCCGCGCCCCTGCCTTGCCGGCCCCTTTCGGCCACGACGCTGCAGCCAGGCTGGAGCCGGGCGGCTGAGCCGCAGCGTACCGGCTCCACCTGCCCCGTCTCACCAGCCCGGAGGCAAAGGGAGGCACCACCTTCACGGCAGTGCCCGGACACCTGAGGAGGAGGTTCCAGGCAAACAGAAGGTGCCCGGGCGCGGGGACCAGGGTTCAGCCAGTTTTTGGTGCCCGATTGCAGCCACACGACTGAGCACCACCATTATAAGCTATTAAAAAACTGGGTGTCAGGGTAACAGACCCTCCAACTAGACATTCAGGTCCTGAGCATGTAATAGTGGGGAAGCTGGTGCAGCATGCTGCAGGGGCACGTGCCGTGACACGAGGCACTAGGAAGAAGGGCAATAGGTGGGATGTCTTAGAACCTTCAACAAATCCATGGGATGGTTGTTTTTACACGGCAAATAAACAGAGCTCCAGAGTCACGCCTCCGGGCCTGCCTGGTCCCAACCCCACACCGATGGCCCCCACTTGCCTCGTGCTGACCGTCAGGACGTCGCTGATGTTGGAGAAGAGGTGGTGGTGCTCCGTCTGAGTCATGGTCTCCTTCAGCTCCTCCGACCTCATGAAGTGGCACACCAGGATGCTCAGGCTGTGCATGTAGGAGTACTCAGAAGTGATGATCTCAAACATTGCCTGAAAAAGCAGGGCAGTGAAGATGTAACATCACAAACTGGATTGTTACTGACTAAACGAGGCCGTGAACTAAAACTTGCTATATCTTATTTACATTTGGTTGGCACGAAGCCACTGGAAATGACTTTGCTCCAACAGTACGGCCTTCCCTCATCTGATGCATTGCCTGGCCTACACCAATAACTTCAGCAGGTTTTAGGACTTTCATTCGTAAATAAGCCACAGCCCTAAGATGTTTTCCCTTCCAGTGGCTATTTCCCATCAGCATCCAAAGGAGTTGCCTGCTTCCCTGCCAAGACCTGCGGGTGAGCCCTTGCGGCGCTGCCCAGTCCCAGAGCTGCTGGAAGCAGCAGCACCATAAACCCCATATGCAGGAGCTGAACCCGAGCCCGAACCCAGCCCCGCTCTGAGCCGACCCCTGTGCCAGAGGTCCCGGACACAGTCACGCGTGTCTCTGCTGCCTTCGGCGTTCACGTTGCACTCCCGGGCATGTCTAAGGCTCCTCTCACCTCCTGCCGTTTGCGCTCTTCGGGGGATATCTTTTGCAGGATGCCCGCTTCCAGCACCTGCGGGCGAGAGGCCGGGGTTAGCTGGCGCTGGCGCTGCGGACCGACAGTCCTTGCACGCCCTCTAGTGCGGTCCGGGGCTCTGCCCAGCCCCGCACAGCCCGCCAGCCGCCCCACGGCTCCGCAGCCCACGGCGGTTAGCCGATGCCGCTCCGCAGGAGGAGATTATTCTCCCCAGGGGCTGGCAGGGAAACCCCAGGCACCCAGCAGGAGCACCTGCCTTCCCCCCATCTGTGGGTGAACCTCTCGCAAGCACAACCGCAGCAGCTCCGCCAGCACCCCGACGAGCCTGGACAGGGACCTGCGTGTCCCAGCCAGGGCTGGACAGTCCCAGAACAGCCCATTGCAAAGAGTAATGCTGCAGAATTATCCACTCACGATTTGTTCAGCAGCTCAGAGAACTTTTAAAATACACACAGCTGTGCTGCAACATGGCACAAGCATGGGAGCAGCCCACGGCGAGGGCAAGTGGGGCCTTTCGGACCCTCCGGGCTGGGCTGCTGCCCCTACCTCCGGGAGCTGGCTCCAGGTCACCTGCGCCGGGCGATAGCTCCGCACCACAATAGCGGCATCCGGAGGGGATGGCTCTTCTGGGATGGATTCCTCCAGCAAATCCTCATCTGACTCATGGCTGACAGAGTTCAGACCTCTCTCACGGATTTCCTGATACAGCCGGGGCTCTGCAGAGGAAAAGGCAAGAGGTCAGCGAAGCCTCTCCCGGCTGGGGGCCGGGGGTTCCCTTACCACCACCGCCTCACCCCGCCAGCCAAGAGCCCTGCCATGAGCGCCGGCGAGCCAGGGCCAGCACCTCCCCACCAAGGTTGGACTTTGCACAGCACCGATTAACCAGCAGCTCCTGCTCCCAACAGCTTCTCACAGCCAGCGCGCTGCGCGCAGCTCTCCCGTGTTTGCCCAGAGCAAGCAAAGCTGGGAGCGCTCCAGCTACGAGCACGGCAGCAGCCTGAGCGTCATCACGCCCCGGGGAGTGGGAAAGCAGGGTTGCAATGCTCCTCTTGCAGGTGGGGAAATGGAGGCAAAAGCAATTGCCCCAGGCCAGGGACAAGCAGCAGCACACGTGGCAAAGGGACTTCTAGGGATTCCCTTCGCTGAGAAGCGCCCCGGTGCCCTGCAAGGCTGGAGCCAGCACTCTCGGGAAGACGGGAGGCAGCACTCACGGTCCTTGAACGAGCCGCCACGCTTCTGCACCCGCTTCCGCCCAAAGGTTCTCTGCAAGAGGAAGAAGAGGAGAACACGCTGCAGTTACTGTATTTCTGTGGCCCTGGGAAGCATCCAGCTCCTTCAGGAAAGGAGAGAAGTTACCTGTGCGGCCAGTCAGCAAATACCACCCTGTTCTTTCAGCCTGATTTTTGTCTGAGCTTTTGTTTGCCTTACTGAAGTGACTCAGCTTTCACCTTGCATTATCAGGGTCACGATCTAAACCATCCTGTAGTTACGCTGCTGCCTTTCACATCTATCTGTCTCACACCTGGACTTTGCCTGCGCTGGAGTCTCCTTTTCCCCAGGCCTGCTTCACCCATGTTTGTGTACAACCAGCCGCCACCTCGGAGCCACACACCCGGCCAACCCCACCCTGCAAACATGCCCGCAGCCGCCTGTTGACAAGCGGGAGCCCCGGAGCAGCCAGTTACACTCCCCACAAAAGCCATGCCAGCTATTTCCGGGCTCTCCGGGGACCTACAGCATCTGTTGGTGACATGCAGGCTTCCCAAGGCACAAGTCACGTCACCAGGCTCAGCAAGCCCTGCCAGCTCCACACAGGGCTCACACAGCTCCGCAACTGACAGGAGTTGCAGGAAAAAGGCTCTGCAGATCCCCCGGCAGCAGCTCATCACCAGGGCAAGTGGGGGATCGATCCCCGCCTGAGAGCAATCGGGTGACAGCGGGTGCAAAACCCACCTTGTTCCTGCCGGGGCTGCGGGCAGGCAGGGCGCTGCCCTCCTCCGACATGGGTTTCAGCGAGGGGACGGGGCTCGACGGCTCCAGCTCCGCACACAGGCCCTTCATGGCCACGCGGTAGGACATGTTCCTCAGGTTGCGCTTGAGGGTCCCCCCACCGTCATCTTCCACCTCCGCCTCCAGGGAGAGACTGGGGACAGACGCCCGCTTCGGGTCAGGACCCAGGGGTTCCCGGCTTGACCCAGCTGCCCCGAAGCTCTGGTGCCGGGAGGGGTTGTTCTTGATCTTGGTGGAGACAGCCAAGCTTTTGGGGATCAGCTGCTGGGTTCCCACCTTCAGCGCGGCTGGGCTGTCCGTGCTGAGGATGCTGCGGCGGGGCTCAGCCGAGGTGGGAGAGCCCATTGCCGAGAGCGAGGCAGCATCGGGCGCCACGGCAGAGCCACGCTTCCCGGGGGTGGAGGTCGGGCTGGGGGGCTCCGGCCGCATGGGGTGGCATCGGTACTCCAGGAGAAAGGTCTTGTCCACAGAGCTGCCAGGGGGGCTCTGAGACATGATGGCAGCACAGGGAACCAGAAAGCTGCATAAGACAGGCAGACAGACAGACAGATGGAATAACTTTTCCCAGTAAGGCAGCTGGCCATGGCCAGCGTACTGTTTTGCACGGGGAACTGCGGGGCAGCGCAGGCCCCAGCCTCCGCCTTCCCAGGGTGCTGTACGCAGGCAGAGCCCATACAGACGCACTTGTGATGCTCTCACTGCCCACACACCTCTCTTGGGGCCACCTGGTGCACAGGGGCCAGGCTGGTGGCTCCTGAAGCCTATGTCTGGCTTCACGCAGAGTGGTGCAGGATGCAGCCAGGCGCCGGGGAGCAGCCAGGCCATGCAGCAGGCACCGGGCAGGCTCGCACCTGAGCAAGCAGCCGGGGCAGGCCTGGAGCACCACCGAGCCCCGCTTCTCCTCCGCCGCACCTCCGTGCCCTTCAGGGACTAGGGGTGCCGCCAGCCTGAGCCACCAGGGCCAGCCTTTACCTTCCTGACTTCCACCTCCCCCAGGCTGACGTGCTGTGAAAACCCCGGCGGGTGCCTCACCACGAGCCCTGTGCTCCTCAAAGACTGTACCTGTCCCAAACCGCTCCAAGGAGCGGCTCCACACTGCGTGCAAAAACACCAGCCCGAGTCCCTACAGCTCCTCGTTTGGACTAAGCTTACTCATCTCCTTCTGTGCCACACCACGTACCGTGCACCTACAGAACAAACATCTGACACAGCATTTTATGCCCACTGCCCACCCCATTACATAATTTGAGGAAAAACTATGGTTTAACTCCTCTCAACTGAGATCTCATTGCATGCCATCGCCATCTCCGAGCTGTTCCTTCTCAAAGGCCACAGACCAGGAAACAGAAACCAAGACTTGAACATATTTCCCTGCATCAATGACTGGCAGAAGGACAAAACAGACCCATCAACAAAAGCTCATTTGATCAAGATGCTGCTTATTTTCCTGTCCTTGGATGGGGGACACATGCCTCTTGGCCGGAGGTCTGCCAAAGGTCCCGCAGATGAGAAAGGCACTACATTCTGCTCTTAACCCCGTCTTGGCTGAGGATGGAGCCTATCCTAAGCGCTAGCCCTAATAACAAGAAACAGGCGTGCCCAATTTCAGAGGCACTGGGTGCTACAACATCCTCCAGGTCTCTGGTGCCACTGAAGGAGGGCTGGACCGCGACACAGGGCCTCCACATCTCTGGAGCTTTGCAGTCCCACATGCACACGGTGCCGAGACTCACATCAGCGCAGCAACTCGAGCGCTTCCAACCCTCTGTCCTGAGCGTTCGTGTGCGGGGAGGGACTGCTCTGCGTGGCCAGGGCCGCTCGGCCTGTGAGCACGGCGGGATTCATCCCTCGGGACACGCGCACGAATCCCACCACCGGCACCTCTACCCCTGCCCAGAGCGCGCCCGGCACTTGCACAAGGACCCCCCGGGAACGCCACGGCAGCCGGGACAGCG